TATATATATATATATATATATACCCATATACATATACACACACACAGATATATAACTTTTTTAAAAATAATTATTTTATTTAACTTTATTGATTTATTTTTTATTTGTTCAGAGAGAGACAGAGAGAGAGAGAATGAGAGAGAGAGAGAAAGTGAGAAAGCAAGTCGCCAGGTCCAGAAAGCAGGTCCGGGACTAGAACCGTGGTCGCCCATGTGGAAGTCCAGTGCCCTTAAACACCATGCCATCTGCGGGCCCCCAAATTTTATATTTTTAATTACCAGAGAGAGACAGAAAGACAGAGACAGAGACAGCAATGAGGAAAGCATTGCATGATGAAGCGGGCCACACCGCAATCCCTTCTTCTCCATGTCCCTCCTGTTGGGGGTTCAGGCACACACACATGCATGTACCTGGTGTGTTTTTCAAGCCACCGGGGCTAGGGTTTGAACAGTGGTTGGCCACACGGGATCTGGCTCCTTTAACCACTAGGCTGCAGGGCCAGCCCCCAAACTGGAACTGTATTAAACAACATCAATAGGTTTAAAAAAGATGAGAATGCGGGGGAGCAAGTTGGGAGATAAGATACCGGAACAGTTTCTTTTATGTCATTTTTAAAAGCACACAGAGGACACTAAGAATTCCTCACTGCATCCGTGTGCAGCTCAGGCGAAGACGATTCTTAAGAAATACGCGACACAGCTGGTCCCTGTGGGTGCAGTGGGGTAAGCAGCATTCCTTCCACCTGCTAGTCAGTGCTCCCAAGGAGCGCTGAGGACATCTCTCCCACCATCTTTCTCTTGCTCTCAAATGTGACAAACATAAAGAGAATCATTTTATAGTTTAGGGATGGTTTGATAGTTTAGTTATAGTAGTAGGCCTTCCTACAGGATGTGAAATCCAAAGCTATTTAGGAAAGGTCAACAGACTTGACAACATCCAATTATTCAAAACGTGGGATCAGCAGATGGAGTAGTGGTCATGTCGCTGGACTCCCACATGGCCGACCACAGTTCAAGTCCCAGACCTAGTGGCTTTAAACTCATGCGGGCCGTGTGTGTGTGCGTGCCCAAGATCCTGGGAGGAGAAGGGATTGCAGCATGGCCCTCCCGCCTGGGGGCAGGGTGATTTCTCACTTTCCCTCTCGCTGTCTCTGTCTCTCTCTCCACGGCGAGCACGCGTGCCCTAAGGCAAAAGAAAAATGATACAAAACAGCACGAAGCCTCTGTGTGATACAACTCCAGCAACGAAGACAGAAGATGACAGACAATATTTGTGGACAGATGAGAAAGGGTCCACAGTAGCGATGTAGGAAAAGCTAAAGAAATCAGCACAAGAAAGACACACAGGCCAACAGAAGAACAGGCGGAGGTGGTGGGCAGGTGGCGCCAGGAAAAGCAGCAGAGAAAGGAGTTAATGGGCGAGGGATGGGCAGAGTGAGAGGAGGCAGCAGCCACAACAGGAGGGTGGGAGACAGGCCCACGGCGCCAGAGAGCACGCACAGTGGGTGGATGGAGAGGGAATCGGGGAGACCAGGGGAGGGCTGGATGTGGGCGACACTGGCCGGATGGGTGGTCAGGGTGGGGCTGAGGAAAGATGACTGGGCTGGGTTCTCAGGCCCTGGGCAGCTGGGGGGTCGGAGGGGGCAGGTCCACATCAAAGGGTTGGTGCCACCAGCAGCTGGCACGGCCCCACCCTTCCAGCTCAGCTGGGCTTTGCCCTTTGATGTGTGTATGGGGGAGGGGCTCGGAGCCCACTGGGCTGTCCTGCCTGCTCCCCACTCACACTGGGCCCTCAGTGCTGCCAGGGTTGGCCCAGCCACCCTGCTTGAGGGAGGGACACAGAACAGGGGATGGCCTGACACTCCCACTGGGGAGAACCAGGAAGACGGTCTCCCAAAGTGTGGGGTGGTAAGACGCAGGGTCATGTCCCCAGAGCTATGGGGACAGAGGGGCGTGACTGGGCCATACTGCTCAGCCTGGGAAGCCAGTACCATCGCAGCTCTGGGCCTCGCTGGCCACCCCTACAGTGGCCTGGGGGTGTAGTCATTGCTGAGGCAAGGGCTGGGCGCCATCTTCCTCCCTGGTCCTGGACCCACAGGGGGTAGAAGCAAAATGGGAATCTGGGCCAAGCAGGCAGAGGAGGGGGTGGCCCCGTCATGCTCTGCTCTCCCCACAGTACTTCTGGCTGCTAGTGCTGTCCCGGGGGCTGGTGGGCATCGGCGAGGCCAGCTACTCCACCATCGCACCCACCATCATCGGCGACCTCTTCACCAAGAACACGCGCACGCTCATGCTGTCCGTCTTCTACTTTGCCATCCCGCTGGGCAGGTGAGAGCCGAGACGGCGGGGTCTGGGTGAGGGTCCGGGCAAGGTCCTCTGAGACCTCGGCCCAGCCAGGTGGCCTCAGTTTCCTGAGCGTGCAGGCCATCAGCCTTGTAGGGACTCCTGCTCCCGGGCCAGGCGGTCTGCCTGGTGACACAGGGAGTGTCCCTGCTGAGCCCCGGTCTCAGCTTAGCTGACTGTGTCCCTCCTCTCTGCAGCGGCCTGGGCTACATTACGGGCTCCAGCGTGAAGCAGGCAGCTGGAGACTGGCACTGGGCCTTGCGGGTAAGGCCTAGGCCCCCTCCCTGGAGGACACCCAAGCCCAGCCCTTGACCCGGGATTATCCAGAGATCAGGCCTTGACCGCCATGCTTCCTCCCCTGTGTGCCTGGACTTTGAAGTCTTGCCCTTCTGGGTTAGTCCAGATCGAGGCGTCAGGGAGCTCTTGGGGGCGCGGGGATCCGGACCTGGCCCTGCCCCCTCAGGCCTCCTCTACCCTGGGAGTCCCAGGTTGAGAGGACAAGGACTCTCCCACCATGCCAGGAAATTCCAGGTCCACTGCGAGCTTCCTGCCTGGAGCCCTGTGTTGTGCTAGGGCGAGGCTGGGACAAGACCTCCGTGTTGGGCCCAGGGTCAGGAGCCACTTCCCGTCTCGCCGGAGGGCTGGGCAAGTTACCGAGGCCCCCGGACAGTGCAATCGGAGGAAACAGAGATCCCCAGGTTCTCGGAGGAGCGGAAGCTTAAGATAAAGTGTTTTTTCCTCAAAAGCAGGAAGGAAGCGGTCTCTGTGGAATTTCTTGGTGGGCGGGAGAGGAGGTGGCATGAAGAGGAACTCCCCAGCCCGTGGGCTCATGGCCCTTTGGTGGTGGGGACAGATTTCCCTGTCCCCTTAGGCTAGAGGAGGGGCTGGCTTTGAAATCCAGGCCACCGAGACCCCTTCCCTCCGGAGAGGGTCCTGGATCTTGGAGATCCTGTCCTTGGCGTTGGGCTGGATGCCAGAAAGATCCAAATGGGCTCGCGAGCCTCTGTCCTCGTGGGGCTGTGTGGGCCCCTCCCAGTTGGCAGCCCGTGTCATCCAGTAGCTGCAGCTTCATGCCGCCTGTTCCTTCCCAGCGTCCCGTGGGGATTTAGCAAGGCTGATACCTGCCTCCCTTCTCCCTGGTTCTCCCTGTCCTCCCTCAGAGTCTTCAGTCTACATGTCTGTCCGCACACCTGTCTTCCTTCTTTCCATCATCCATCAATCTATCAATCTATCCATCTATCTATCCATCCATCATCCACCCATCCATCTATCCACTCACCTATCATCTATCCACTCACCTATCATCCACCCATCCATTCATCCATCATCCATCCATCCATCCATCCATCATCCATCATCCATCATCCATCTATCCATTCATCCACCCATCCATCCATCCATCATCCATCATCCATCTATCCATTCATCCACCCATCCATCCATCCATCTATCCATCCATCCATCATCCATCCATCCATCATCCATCATCCATCATCCATCTATCCATTCATCCACCCATCCATCCATCCATCTATCCATCCATCCATCATCCATCTATCCATCCATCCATCATCCATCCATCCATCCATCCATCCATCATCCATCATCCATCCACTCACCCATCATCCATCTGCCTCTCCCTCTCCAGCCCTTCTCCATCCACCTATTTGGGCATCTCTCCCTCCTCCTCCTTTTTTTTCTTTTTTTTTGGAGAGGTGTTTTTTGCTATAGGGCGCATGCACTCGCCAGACAGACAGAGAGAGACAGAGAGACAGAAAGTGAGAAATCACCCCCCAGGGGGGATGGTCACGCCGCAATCCCTTCTCCTCCATTCTCCTCTCAGGATCTTGGGCACGCACGCACACGCGCCCGGGGTGAGTTTTAAGCCACCGGGTCCGGGACGTGAACTGCGGTCGACTACGTGGGAGTCCAGCAAGATAGCCATTATACTAACTGCTGGTTCTCTCTCCCTCCTCCTTCTATCCTTCCCTCCCTCCTTTCCTTTTTCCTTCAGTCTGTCTTCCTTGCACCCTCCCTCCCCCCTCCAGTCCTGTCACTGGTCTGGACAGTCCATTTCATGCCATCGTGCCCTTCACTGACTTCGTCCCTAGTGCTTTGCCCAGCAGTGCAGAAGGCTGGGCAGATACCAGCCCAGAGGAGGGACCCAGGGTTCAGAGAAGGCTTGGCTTGCCCCAGCCCCTCCTAGTGCGGCAGAGACAAAGTGGGCCCTGGTGTCCTAGCTTTGTGCCTCCTCCTCTGCCAGGTGTCACCTGTCCTTGGGATGATCACAGGAACACTCATCCTCGTCCTGGTCCCTACCACCAAGAGAGGCCATGCTGACCAGCTAGGGGGCCAGCTCAAGGCCAGGACCTCATGGCTCCGTGACATGAAGGCCCTGATCCGGAAGTGAGTACTGCCAGGAGGAAGGGGGAGGGGTGCGGAGACGAGAGGACCCTTCCTGCAGGTAGGCCACCCAGCACTCTCCCTGCCGTCTCTGCTGCCACCATGCTGAAAGTGACATTAGATCTGAGAGTGAAATTAGATCCCTAGCGCTGATTTTCCTTTTTAGTTTTGCTAGAAGGCACATGTGCTCACCTGAGAGAGACAGAGAGAAAGAAAGAAGTGAGAAAGCACGCCCCAAGGAGAATGGCCACACGGCAATCCCTTCTCTATTCTCCTCTCAGGACTTCGGGCACGCATGCACATGTGCCCAGTATATTTCTCAAGCCGCCAGGAACAGGACTTCAACTGTGCAATTGTCCATGTGGAATCTAGCTGCCTTCACCACCACGCCACCGGCTGTCCCTTAGCGCTAATGTCTCCTGCAGCCCGAGTCCTTACTCCTGGATTCTGCAGGGGTGGCCTTTGAGGCCTTCTGCCTTCGGGGGAGGCATGAGCCAGCACAGGGGAGAAGAGGCAGTCTCCTGGTTCCCGACACTATCTTCCCCGGTAGCCGATGGGGCCCAGCCCCCTACTCAGTGTCACTGCCTTGGCCTCTCCCCAGCCGCAGCTACGTCTTCTCCTCCCTGGCCACGTCGGCCGTGTCCTTCGCCACAGGAGCCCTGGGCATGTGGATCCCACTCTACTTGCACCGCGCCCAAGTTGTGCAGAAGACAGCAGAGACGTGCAACAGCCCTCCGTGTGGGGCCAAGGACAGGTGGGGCCGGGCCGGGTGAGCCTAGGGGTGGCAAGGGACGCGGGAGAGCAGAGCCCCTCTGGTCCATCCTTGGCTCCTGCTCAACTGTGCTCTACTGTCCTCTGTCCCCACAGCCTCATCTTTGGGGCCATCACCTGCTTTACGGGCTTTCTGGGCGTGGTCACCGGTGCAGGAGCCACGCGTTGGTGTCGCCTGCGGACCCAGCGGGCTGACCCACTGGTGTGTGCCGTGGGCATGCTGGGCTCCGCCATCTTCATCTGCCTGATCTTCGTGGCCGCCAAGACCAGCATTGTGGGGGCCTATGTGAGTGCAGTGTGGGCCCAGCTGGGTGGCAGGGAATGCGGCTGCCTCACTGGACTCTCCCTCCACGGGAGGCTCCGGTCCCCTGGCTGCCTGCCCCTGCTTTGCCTATGGGCTCTGGGTGCCTCCAAGGCTGTGGGCATGGCTGGAAGTCTGAACAATCCACTGCTTCCTCATAAGCCTGGCTGTCAAGAGATGCAGCCCCGGGAAAGGTGGGAGGCTTTGGGGACTCCCCGGCAGCAACCGCGTGCAGGGAGCCGCCTGGGGCTGCTGGTGGGTGGAGGGCCCCTGAGGGTTTCTCTGCTCTCTCCCGGGCAGGTCTGCATCTTTGTTGGGGAAACGCTGCTGTTTTCTAACTGGGCCATCACCGCGGACATCCTCATGGTGAGTGGGCCGGCCAGGATCGCCTCATGTTCCCTCACAGGGATTGGGGTGGCTGTGAAGTTAGGGGAGAGCTGTGGGCAGAGAGGAAGGCCTGCCCCGAAGGTGAATGGTGGCAGGTGGGGTCTACAAGGGGCAGGGCCTGGAAACAGAGGGTCGAGTAGGCAGATGGGATGAGACAGGGGCTGGATGGGGAGGCTGGCAGTGCCAGGCTGGCACGGAGGCGGCGCTGCCTGCCAGTGCTCCTCCCCCAGGGCCTGAGTGTCCAGAGACTCTGCCCCCCCCCGCC